TTTTTTTATAAATTTAAGTATAACTTTCTTAAATAAATAAATTTTTTAAAAAAGTTTAAGTCTAACATTTTTATTAAATACATCAGAGATGATCAAACTTTCCAGATCAATATATAATGTTATTGTAATAATAAAAAAATTATAATTATTACATCACAATATCCTATCAATATAAACTAGTAGAGTTATAAGTTATAACACCCTTAATAACTAAAGATTTAATTATAAGATTTTCCAAATTATTTCTAACTATTCGAGGCCTAATTAAAAAAATTTAAAAATTATATAGAAACATACAGAATATATAATTTAACCAATAATTTTTTTTAAATAGTAAAATTGTTCAAAATAAGATTTAAACCTTAGACCTCTTCTTCCTACATAAGGATGACCATAACCACCAAAGTCACTAGTAATTTAACTTATTTATTTTATATATAATTAAAATATGTTATATATATTTTTTTATTTCTTTTATTAATTGCACTTTTGAAATCTTAAAACATATTTGTTATGCGAAATGTTTTTACATTCCTAAAATCTTAAAATAAGAATTTGAGTTTTCCATGTTTAGTTAATATTTAAAGAAATTTTAGAAATATAATTTTTCAAGAACTATTTTTATTTTACTTTTTCATAAAAAAAAAATTCATAGGGTGTGAGAATCCAACTTTTCTGAGTTAAGAAAAAAGTTTTATGTATATAAAAATATTACAATATCTCTTTTAAAACAAAAAATATTTATCTCCTTCTATTTCTCTTTCTCTCATTCTCATTTTCCCTCTCTTTTCCTCTCTCCCTCTTCCTCTCCCTCTCTCTCTTTCCTTCTATTTCTCTTTCTCGCTCTTTGTATCTTTCACTCTCACTCCCCTTTCTTCCTCTCTCCCTCTCCCCCTCTATTCTCTCTCCCTCCTATATCTTTATTTCTCATTCTTTTTTTATTGTATTTCATTATTTCTCAATCTTGTCAATTTTAATAATATTATTAAAATCTATTTTATTTCTACATTTTAATGATATTTGTTAGTATTTTTTATTGAATGAAATAAAATAATATATTTTTATTCTTCTTAATTATAGTGTAGCATTTTATTTTATTTTTTGTTTAATTTTGTATTTAAATAATTTTAATAAGTTTCCATCTTTTTAAAATAGTTTAACATCATATTTGCAATAAGATTTAAGTATAAAAAAATATATAACGAGTTTATTTTAAAGGATATTTTTGTAACAAATATTTATAAACCCAAAAATATACTATTGTAACAAAATATAAAAATCTTTAATTCTCATAAATTATGTATGAATAGTTCCAATAATTTTTATGAGTAATCAAACATATTTTAACTATTTTATCAATATCTAGTCATCCATTCAATATAAATTAGCAGAGTTGATGCTCATAAGATCAATTTCTGTCAGTATTAAAATAATATTTAATTAAAAAAAATCTTATCTGGCAATTGCAAAATTTATAGTTTTCATTAAATAATAAATGTAAACATACATGTGTGAATCAAAGATGCAAATAACAAATATAATAATATTATATATAAATTATATATTTGATAAAATTAACTTGTAAATTAGCTGAAATTTTATAAACTAGTTAAAAATTTATAAATTTTAAATTTAGAGTCAAAATGTGCTTAGAGTTAAATGTGCTTAGACAGGTCTGAATCGTATACTTATAGTCTTATTTGCTGGTCCGATAAACTATAATACTGAAAATCTGATTAAAAAGTTATTTTTATGTATAATTTTAGTCAAACTTTTTCTCCGTTATGTTTTGGTATGTATTAGATGTCGTTGATGATGAAGAAGCCAATCACATGCTTGTTGTTTAATTTCGTTTCTTCGATTTTCAATCTGGAAATTTTGGCAACAACTACCTTGTATTTTAACTTGTTTGTTCGTATATTGGTTTAATTTTTTCTTCTAATTCAGGATTAAGGGTTTGCTGGATTTAACCCAAATTTGATGAGTAGCCGGTCTTTCCATGAAAAAAAAAAGAAGACAATTATATATAAGTGGTCTGCCCCGGTCGGATTCCGACCGAATCCCTTCCCATGCTGCCAACCGACTATAGTCTTGGCTGACCCACTCTATCAGAGTAACTCGGTATACGTCTGACTTGGCCTATCTGTGCAAGCTACGTCGGTCAGATACCGATCTTACTCACCATAAGAACCTACTCGGCCATTATCTGATTAAACACGCAGTGTGGCCTAGTCGGTCGGGGGCCGACCCAACCTTCGCATGTAGGAGCTATCCGATAGCAAGGACAAGGTCTCACTATCCCTCACCAAATATTTTCCAGATTAGAACGGTTAAGGAAATTCCTACATTCTCGGGGTCCATAAAACCCGTAAACAAGAAACTATAAAACCAAAAATCATAGAATTGAGAAGGCAAATTATACTTTTGAATGCTCTGCCTCTAAGGCTTAACCTAGGAAGAAACCCTAGTCCACCCTTTGACCGGAACAATAAGTATAATCAAGTTATGCATCTCTTGCAATTTATTTTAGATCGGCCAAATTATTAGAAAAATAATCTAATGAACTTTTCTATATATATAGGGAGAGAGAAAAGTGATTCACTTACTCTATGTGTGTATATGTATTATTTTTTTTATAACAAATAGTATATACGTGTGTATTTGTAAATTTACTCTACTCAATAATTCGTATTCTATATCAAATTTTGACTACCCGACCATTAAATTAAAAGTTCTTAACGTATAGATAAGTCTGTAAATTAAAAAAAAAAACTTAAAATCATATCATACTTCATTATATAAATTTAAATCAAAATATAAAATAATTTTTATAATTATCCGTTGAATTAATGAAACGAAGTATCAAATAATTTTAATTTTTTTTAAATTTGTAAATTTGATCTATATATACATCAAGAGTTTTTAATATTTAATATAAAATATGAATTATTAAGTGGAGTAAATCTACAAACACAGTTGTGTGTGTGTGTGTGTGTCTGTGTGTCTGTGTGTGTGTGTCTGTGTGTGTGTGTCTGTATGTGTGTGTCTGTGTGTGTCTGTGTGTATGTCTGTCTCTGTGTGTGTGTGTGTGTGTCTGTGTGTGTGTGTGTGTGTGTGTGCGCGTGCGTGCGTGTGTGCGTGCGTGCGTGTGTGTGGGTGCGTGTGTGTGTGATATATATATATATATATATATATGTGTGTGTGTGTGTGTGTGTGTGCGTGCGTGCGTGCGTGTATGTGTGTAAGATTAACCCAATACATTCATTCGTCCAAGTATTCTAACAAAACAACATATCACTACAAGTGCATTGGCTCAAATACACTTAAGCTAGGCCAACTAGACGCATTTTTAGCAAATTGGCTGGATTAAGCAAGGTAATTAAGAGAGAAATTTCTCCTTGCTTAAGCTATCCCCGAGACAACCAAATTTTCTCACTTAAGTTAGGAAAAACTCCAACTTCGTCACAATCCTGCTTAAGTGAAAAAATGGTTTCGCTTAAATGAAGCTACAAAAATGTATGTGTCATCTTTAATAAACCAAAGAGTTTTGCCCAAACCCTTGAGGTTTTAACCTCCTTTTCTACACATCGTAGACAACCATTAATAATAACAACATGTTCTCAGTTATAGCAATTAAACAATTCAATAAACCACAATGAGAAAATTTATCAAAACTCCTCGTTCATCACATAGCAAGATTCAACAAAAAACTTTCCCTTCCCTTTGCAATTCAATACAACACCCCCATAATCATACCATCCTTCATCAATTCAACAACAAAACCTAATTTCAAACCCATTAACACATAATCTAATACATCAGAACAAGCTTCCCTTATCTCATAGATCATCTCTAATTAAAAAAAAATATGAAGGAAAAATTCCACTCCAATCAAGATTCCTAACTCTTCTTAGCTTCTCAATGATGGAGCCAAACTCTATAGAACCACCTTTGACTACCATGACAACCAACTTTATATGAAGTAGAGGGGAGGACGAAGGACATGCATGAGAGGAGGAAGCTTCCCGCTACTCCAAGCTCCAATCTCTCTCTCAATAATAGAGGAAAGTGAGGGTTTAAGGTGGAGGTTGAGGAAGGATAAGGAAGGAAGGTGTGGGATTGGTGTAGGAGGAAGAAAAAAGAAAGCTTCAACAAAGGGGTTCTCTTTGTCTTTTAGAAGGTTAGGATTATTTTTGGGTTATACCTCCTTTTTTTTTTTTTTTCATTGATCCCTTTCTTTACTTTTTATTAACCTTTTCATTAACATCAACTTTAAAACACCAATAACACCCACCCACACCTACTCTCCATTCCTACATAATTAATTAATTAACTCGTGCAACACACAAATAAAATAATTAACTCATATTAATAAATATAATTAATTGAATACCACATAGAATTTAAACACTTAACCATATAAAACATGTATTAAGGAAAAATCATAATGTTATATTATATCTAACTTAAGTTTGAATTATTAGGATTAATTTAGTGGTAGAATTTGAAATAATATACACATGATTTTAAGTTTAAATCTTGATGTTGTTATTGTAATTTTGATAATAAAAAAAATCAAAATTTGTTTATGAGAAATATTTATTTAAAAAACATATTGAACAAGTATTTTTCTTTCGTTAACTAATTCATTACCCTCATGAAATGAATCACTCGACATTATCAATCCATATAGATATCATAATATGATACATATCAGTTTCTCCCGATATACATATTTTTGTTTATGATTCTCAATATAATCATTCTTTTTATTCCACAACTTAAGTTTATCCCTAGATCAATAAGTTAAGTTGTAAGACATAAATTGTGAGTACAAGTTTATTCCTTATAATGTATTCTACATTTTTTTAATTAATTTATTTCTTTCTCTTTATAAGATCTAGTTGATGAAAAATGGGTTAAAATTATAAATAAAAAACTAGGCTTCGAGACTTCATGTTCTTGTTATTTATATATTTGAATTGTGCACAGGGATCCTCCTTCAAATTCAATTATCAACAACCACAATGCTACACCAATGGTTTCTTCATCAGGTCCATCCAATGCTTCTTTTCCTCAACAAAATCAAAGATTAGACTTACAAATTGGAAGGGTAAAAATTTCTAAATCACTTTTTATCTTTTTAAGCCTTGGAGATAACATGCAATCACCATTAAAATATGAGTTTGAGGTTCTAACACATGAAACATGAATTATGGAACTTGAAAGGAGGTTACCAGAGAAGAACCTAACATAGCAGCAAGGAACTTTAGAGAGGTAAACCTTATATTCATATATTTGCAAGACACAGGGACATTTTATTTTGAAATATACTTTGATTAAAAAAATAAAAAAAAAAATTATAAGTGAAACTTGCACTACAGGGACCACAAGAACAACCAAAGAAAACTCAACAATTTGAAATTGGACAGAGTTCATCCTGTAAACGTCAGAAGGTAAATAATTTTATTTTCACATATGTTTGAGTGAAACCATATTACAATTGGGAGTAGCCATAATATCCCAAAGACTTTTTAAAATTTTAGGACAACCAAAATAAGAATAGTTAGTTGTTTGCAAAAATTAAATTATATTCCCATCTCAAAATATTTAGACATTCCTTTAGTATTGTTAGAGTATAATTTCTTTGAAAAGTGTGTCTATTTATATATATATATATATATATA